AGAATAAGTTGAATTGAATTGTTTGGTCCCAATTTCAGTGTTGTATCGCAAGTTATAGAACAGTAGGGAAGAGAAGCACACAGCACAAGATAAGTGAAAAATAGCTATGCTAATTAAAAACAAAATCTCTGACTCTAGCATCAATAAAAGTCTAAAATATCTATCTTGAAAATACTAATATAAAAAGTGTAAAAGTTTTACATTTGGCAAAATAAGAGGCAAGTATAAAGTACTGTATATTCTAGTGCAAGCAATGTGTAGTTTAATGGTGGGATCTGTATGTTAGCAGCAGTATGTTTACATCTGTACATTAGCAGCAGTATGTTTACATCTGTACATTAGCAGCAGTATGTTTACATCTGTACATTAGCAGCAGTATGTTTTCATCTGTACATTAGCAGCAGTATGTTTACATCTGTACATTAGCAGCAGTATGTTTACATCTGTACATTAGCAGCAGTATGTTTACATCTGTACATTAGCAGCAGTATGTTTACATCTGTACATTAGCAGCAGTATGTTTACATCTGTACATTAGCAGCAGTATGTTTACATCTGTACATTAGCAGCAGTATGTTTACATCTGTACATTAGCAGCAGTATGTTTACATCTGTACATTAGCAGCAGTATGTTTACATCTGTACATTAGCAGCAGTATGTTTACATCTGTACATTAGCAGCAGTATGTTTACATCTGTACATTAGCAGCAGTATGTTTACATCTGTACATTAGCAGCAGTATGTTTACATCTGTACATTAGCAGCAGTATGTTTACATCTGTACATTAGCAGCAGTATGTTTACATCTGTACATTAGCAGCAGTATGTTTACATCTGTACATTAGCAGCAGTATGTTTTCATCTGTACATTAGCAGCAATAAAATAGCAGCATTTTTATACAGCGACCTGGCTTAATTCCCACCCCTACATCAGTCTTGATTTTAGTATCCCACACACTCTTGTTGTGTTTCACTTGAAATATTCGAAGAAAAAAAAAAGACCTTGGAATAGTTTAAAATTAAGACATAAATGACAGAGACATAGGCGGGATCTGAAGCTAGAATATCTATGGGCCTTTATTTCAGTTTCCAGTTGTTTCAGTTTTTTCAGACAGGTACCTGGTCCAAACAACAGAGACATGACTAAAGTTACCGCGTGACCTCAAAGGCCTGACTCCTTCAATATTATGTCTTGCGTTTGTCCATTTTGTGAAGAACAGATTCAAGACTCCTCCCTTTGATCACATAAACACATGCGGTTAACCATGGATTGGTCGTCACAAAATGTAATAATGAAACCCATAAAAATAAGTATACATTTAAACATACCATCATAAAAATCCTTAAGAGTATAACATTTTTTTTACAGATTCCCTTCCATTATGTCGTCATAAATTTAGCCTATATTTTTCAAACATTTCTAGACTACATTGGACACAAGAACCGAGCAAGTATGAGCCACACGGCAGAAAGGAACGATCACTGAGTTTCAGATTGAGAAGATTATTTGATTCAAACTTTATTTCATACTTTTATCCTAATGTTAATTGTTTTCATGTTTTTGAGATATTTCACTTGCATTATTTCAACTATTTTGATTTTAGGCTTTATTTCTTTGCGTTTATTATTCTGTGATAGTTTGTGGGACACACTACCAGATACTAAAGCATATTGGAAATGCAACAGGTAGATTAGAGCCAAGTAGAGCTGATAGAAACAGGGATCACACATTCTGCAAGTACAGTTTACATTGCCCGCCTCCGCCCCTCCCTTACCCAGTCAACAGCCGAAATCCTCATCCACGCATTCATCACCTCCAGACTCGACTACTGCAATGGCCCCCTCTACGGACTTCCCACCACTCATCTCCAAAAACTGCATTACATCCAGAACTCTGCAGCCCGCCTCCTCACCCACACCCGGTCCAGAGAACACATCACCCCTGTCCTCAATCTGCTCCACTGGCTTCCTGTTTAATATCACATCCAATACAAGCTCCTTCTGCTCACCTAAAAGTCCCTCCATTACCTGGCCCCGCCCTGCCTTACTGAGCTCCTACAACAGCACCAACCCACTGGCCGCCTTCGCTCAGCCGACTCCAACCGCCTCACTCCCATCACCCACACAAACTGCCGGACCTTGGGGGACGGAGCCTTTGCCACTGCCGCCCCAACCCTCTGGAACTCACTCCCACTGCCCATTAGAAACTCTGATACTACCAAACTTTCAATCAGTACTCAAAACCCATCTTTTGAAACAAGCTTTTCCGTAAACCCCTTTTTTTATTTATTATTGTTTTTTTATTTCCGCATGTGAAGCGTCTTTGAGTGTCCAAAAAAGCGCTATACAAGTTTGATGTATTATTATTAAATACAATTTAAGGAAATGTATAAATATTGCAATTTCAGAATGTCCAATGTAGTACTATGAGTGTCAATGTGTCTTTTCATTTTGTGCATACTCTGCTAATTCACATGTAAATATATATAAAATACTTGATATATAAAAAGTTTGCCGGTCGGGTTTAGCACTGCACATATATTTTGTGTGTTCCTTGTGTGCTATACTGTCCTGCATGTGTGCTTCAACATTTTCCCGCTCTGGGACGAATAAAGCTTCTCTTATCTTAAAGCTAGGAATAATAATAATAAAGCACATTCTCTATAGGGTCAACCTGAAATGTATGTGGGGAAAGTAATTAGTGAGGAAGCAGGATGTCGGCTCTTGTCAACGATGGGGCGAGCAGCTGAAGCCCTGCCTTGTGTAGAAAGACAACACTGTTCCAAGTCCAACAGATGTGCCATGCTCCGTACTGAGGTTGTTGTGGCGCACAAAACAGCCATCTCTTAATTAGTTCTTGGGAGACAGGCAGCGCGTTGAATAGAAGTTAAGACAGTTTGAAGGTAAAGCGATAGGGGGTCTTTGTCTGTCTGCCCGCACCTGCTTCCTCCCACGTTCACATCTAGGAGTGGGATTTGAATACATTAGCAGACATGTCAAACTCTAGCCCGAGAGGCCGAGTTAAACACGCAAGACAATTTTTAGTATCGGCATTACAGTAACTTGCAGCATTGGGCTACTATGGCATGTTATACTTCATTTTTAAGCTTTGTTTAATGTGTTCTAAAATCTATAATATTATGCAAACAAATACATGTATCATTATTTTCTATCAAATAGAATAAATTTGTCAAAATAAAAAAAAATATGGAAAAAAATAAATATTTTTTTTAGCCCCGTTAACAGATGGGAGGGGTTAGCTCCTTTTCCAGATTGAAACGATTGGATCTGAGTTTACGTATCTGGTGGTGACGTATGTTATGTGCCTGAGCGAGTGAGGCATTTAGCTTAGCCATCTCTTTTGCCACTAACGGAGCCCTTTGCAGTAATGAAACTTCCTATTTCCCTTGCTCCAGCGTCAAATTCTTGATATTTGGGAACAGACCAGAACGGATTGAAGAGCTTCCTGTACTATCGCATTCGCTGCCATTGCCAAACTTCAACACAGTAAATTCGGTGTAAACTCTTGACGTCACCAACTCACCGAATGCTCGGAGGGGATTCAACCGAGGTAACCGCAGCCACTAGGATCAGACCCAGACGTACATGTAGGGAAATGATAATTGACCAGAGTTTACGGATAGCTGAGGCCAGGCTACTTGTGGCCCTAACCAGCTCTTGTGTTTTTTTTTTTGTGTTTTGTAAATTTGGCCCCCGATGAAAATGAATTTGACACCTCTTTATAATGGCATCATAATTTTACCAATACTTTGTGTGGATTTTTCCCCAATAACAATAACTGCCTATAAACATACAAGCACATACTGTATTGGCTAATGCTAATAAACCTGGGTCCTTTATGGAAACTGCATCCTTTCATAGAAAATCTGCTTAAATGCTTTGTCAACCATAAACATGGGTTCATCAATTGTTAATTGGAAAGAGGGGTAACTGAAACTAGAGAGTAATAATTTATGAGCTTGGGTGCGCTCAGCACAGTGGTAGATTCAAAATTCAGTTTAAGGATTTAGGAGAAGCACATGGGCACTGTTGGAAACTTATATCTGCATGAGGAATTGTAGCGGCACTGCACTCATTCAGCAGTAAACACACAATCTTGTATTGCCAGCCTGACCCATAAACAAACTTATTTTTTCATCAATATTTCATAATAATCAAAGCACGGAAAATAGGGAAAAAAAAGAAAATTAGCAAAACAAACCACAAAATTAGCTTATTAGAAAACAAACAGCTTTTGCATACTTTTAAGAAACAGCCATGTTAGTCACCACAATTGTCATAGATTTTATTAAAATTTGATTTTTTTCGTGGTTTTTTAGTTTAGTACTCCAAGATATAAAGGCCACTAAACTATAACATTATAAGTATATATAGTTCTGTGCAAGTGTGTTTTTCTTCTTAGAGAGATGCAGGATTCAATTCTTCCATATCCATTTGTGGCTGTGTTGTTAATTCTAGATGGGGTTTTGTCTGCTGGGTTGTTTTAAGATCTTTGACACTCCACAAACTAAGTAAGTAAGTATGTAAAGTTTATTACATTGCGCTTTTCAACACCAGGATCACAAAGCGCTTCACACTTTAAAACACATAAAATACACATACAAGTCAGATTTAAAATAAAAACACAGAAAAGCAGAGTTCACAGAGGCCTATGAGCAGTGAGGCGAGAAAGCCTGTCTAAACAAATAGGTCATAAGTAAGGACTTAAAATCATCAACAGATTGTAACATACGCAGAGGCTGGGGAAGCTCATTCCAGAGGTGAGGAGCAACTGTCTGAGGATCTGTCTCCTCTGGTTTTAAAACGAGTGTGGGGGATCATCAACAGGTGCTGAGTGGAGGACCTCAGGCTCCTGTTGGAGACAACTCACAGCAGTATTTACACAAAATCTTGTGTTACCAGATGTAACATACCAATGAAAAAAGTAAAAAGAAAGCACAGAATATCTTTAGGTATTTCTTGTAATCCACAGCTGAGCTTAGCCCACATATTTGGTGTACAGTATGTGCGGGAGGCGGGACTTACGTGTCAATAACTGCCCTCCTGAACTGTGCGTGTGAGATTCAGGGCTAATGGCATTGAGCCCAGAATTCTTGGGCTGATGTGTGACTGATGTGACACATCAGTCACTGAAAAGATGTGAGGATTAAAGGTTCCATTTTTGAACAACAAACCTTTAGGTTTTCGGTTTTGTTTTCCTCTCAGGGAGTTGGTCATGTTTTAAAACCCATTTTTGCAGAGAGAGAACAAAAAATTTACAATGAACAAAATGTGTATGTCTGTACTTTTTTGGGGATGGGGGATTACTGACTTATGATATTAAGCGTAATGGAACAGTGGAAATTGACTCAGAAGTGAGTATATATTGTATATAGTCTGAATGGTATGGGGAAGGCAGGTGGGTCAGAACATGCAGGCAGAGGCTGGAGCCGGAGCAGCAGACTGAAAAAAAAAAACGTATGAAAAAACAGGTAAGTATACAGTCTCAAAAATCAGATCCTAAATAGGCTTGCTGGATGTATCATCATCTGGCACCAAATAGCAGCAGACCACTAAAATGGAGGTTGATTGTAGGCCATCAGCAGATGACCCATGCACAGGAGGGGAGGGCGTGAGCAGCAGATCTACAGATAATAAGCATAGTTTTACTTTAGTTTCAGTTTTAAAAACAGCCCATATTGTCTTTCTTTTCTCAATAATTACGGCGAGGGCTTGACTGATCTATAGCCCATTAATACCAGGCACCCCTATTAATATCTTCATGAAATTGACTAAGTTCAAGTCTAATAATATGTTAGACTTGTAATACATGTTTAAGAGATATGAGCTACTCTAGCACTGTCATTTAGCTCTGATTTTCAACAAAAAAGAGCAATAGTTGTCTTAAGAGGCCTAGTTTAGCAGGAAATACGCTGAACACCATTTACAGTTCCAGTTCCACTATTGTTCACAAGCAAAAAAATCCTACACAAGAAGGATGCCAACACTTGGAAGGTAGCAATAATGAGGACACATGTGCCACCGATCTCTCAAAATACCGCTCGAAATCTCTTTCTTGTGCACACAGTGCATTATTATTTGTCACCGCGGCACTGCAGGCAAAGTGGAGTGGGAATGTCTGAAGTGAGATGAAAGCATCTCTCAGTGGGAGGTAGTAAACATTAACAGTGAGCTGCAGAGATTTGGGCCAAAGTTGGGGATTGAATCCAAGCACAGATGAATTTTTATCTTGCTTTTGATGAAACATAAAATGATGACTTGTTTGAAGCTCACACGTTTTGCAACCTTCCCTTCTTATATACTCCAAGATTGTTTTGAAAATTGTACAATTTGTATCTGTCAGTCCTTTTAGGAAGTTAAACTTTCACAAGTGATCACCCCTGTTAGTCTGTTTGTCAGTTTGTTTGTCTGTCATCCATGCAGCGGATCCCTCTCTCAATATGGGCCTCCCTGAGGTTTTTCCCATTGGATGGTCTAGGAGGGTCTGAAAGGAGGGTCTGAGGACAGTGGTGATGATCCTGACTCCTGTGTGTTTGTTATTATTGAATTTCCTGTAATGAAGTATTTGATTCTCTGGTCTGTGTTGGCAAATCAAAAACTTTCTCTGAGGCAACTTCTGTTGGGCTATAATAATTTGAAATGAACTGAAATATCTGTGAACAGTGTAACTCAAAAAGTTAGAAGACATTTTCAGGAACAACTGACAATATTGGACGTGATCCATAATACTGGAGGCAGGATTCATTTAAGGTATAAAACTGCACCTCCAGGTGGAAGTCTGCGATTGCTTTCCTCGTTGTGACAGTTGACAGTGATAGTTTTCAAGCTTGTAATATATATATTTTTTGCTTTCCAAAATCACTCTAAATGTTTCATTATCCAGTATACCATTACTTTATGTCTGTATAGTAAGTAATCCATGTGATGGGTAGAGCGCAAGTGTTCAGAACAATCAAAAAGCAGTTGAAAAGTCTTGTTCTAACTCAAATTAACATTAAATTGCCTGTCAGAACTGGAACTAGCTTGTTCTTTTAGGTCCACGCAGCAGACCACCCACAACTATGCAGCCACAGTCAATGCATTACACGCTCCAGCTGTCTTAATAGCCTTGAAGATTTGCCTTTGTGTGACTATACTATTTCTGTATCACTATACAATGTAGCGTGAAGTAGGCCCAATTTGTCATGGTTTAGTGCAAACTTTATAGCTTCTCATTTACAGCTGTTTAGAGTCCTCTTTCCCTCGCTGATGATGTCGCCTCCTCCGGCTGCACACTCTTACCAGGTGTGGAGGCCTGGGGGTGGATTTGTTTGCGCCACGTCAGTCAGAATTGCACCAAATAACATCGAAGCATCTGTAGTGCCGTCTGTCCAGGACGCGTGGACAGAAAAGTAGATATGGAGGAGGCTGAGATATTCTGGGGGTCCTCGCCGCTTGAGAGAAGTCCATGTGTGCTGCAGCCGACCTGAAATTGAATCGGGATGGAATAAATGGGTTTAAAAGCTTCGGCTTCATGTGCGATTGAATCAGATAGGGGTTTAAATGCAGTAGAGACCGGCAGAGAGAGGGAGTAATGACACAGATACAAGGGAGAACATGTGGGCGACGGTGAACACATTTCCAGGGAAAAAGGCGGAGGTGAAATCTTGCTACAATGTCTACACTTGTGTTTGAAAGTTTACACATCCAGCCACCGATGTCATTTTGTGGCAAAATTTGGAGATTACATTTGTTTTCCTAGTCATCATTAGTGGTTGAGAGAGGCCATTTAAGTCAAATGTATGTAATGCATGAATTAATATTTTCATTACACAATTGAGGGTATGGCTATGAGCTTTGGGGAACAGTCGCAGATACAAGCAAGTTTCCAACGCTGAGTGGCTGGATGCTCCCTTACAGAGGAGGGAGCTCGGAGCAGAGCCGCTGCTTCTCTTCATCTGGATGAGCCAGATGAGGTGGCTTGGGCATCTATTTTGGTTGCCTCGTGGACATCCGGAGGAGAGGGGGGAAGAATGGAGATGTCCCCAGATGAGCTGAAGGAGGTCTGTGTGGATAGGGAATTCACAAATGAGACAAATGGGCAGCTTTCCCATCAAAGGATATCTCAACACCAACTAACACAAAAGACTCCACACTGTCAGAGAAGCAGCAAATAGGGGAAAACTATTGAGAACTGGGGGAAATAAACTTTCTGTTTTCATAATATTTTGAAAATAGAAAACATTTCAAATAGCAAATATTTTCAAACTGAGAAGCAATACTAACTATGCTTAAGATAAGATAAGACAAACTTTATTGATCTCACAATGGAGATGCTTAAAATATTTCCCTGCGTTTACACACACATTTCAGTAATCAAAGCATTTCTACTTCCACCCAATCCTCTTGGTTGAGCACAGATGGACTGCTGGTTTCCTTCACCTCACCTGATTTAATCTGTTTAATGGTAGTGAACTGGAAGCCTCCGGTGCAGACAGAGGACAGGGCTGTCATTGGCTGAGATGTGGGTGGCAGGTCTGCTGTGACAGGACACATTACGGTGAGCTCCCCTGAGCCCTGTTCACGAGGAGGGCCCATGGGCTCATGAGTCCTCCACAAGACTCTCCCCCAGCTCTCAGTGTCAACTCACTGTCACAACAAGAGACCAACTGCCTCTCACATACAGTATACTGACTGAGCATTGGTGCAGGATGAGGTTAATTGAACTGGGTAAGGGAGACTGATATGTGAAGCAGCCATATCTTTCAGCGGAAGAATAATAATAACAATTACTATAATAATAATAATAATAATAACACAATAAGTTATCTTCATCCCGCTCCCTTTCAGGCAGAAGTAGGTTATATTTACATGCAGTTGCAGTATATGCTGTACATTCATTTTTGTCCTATATTTTTGCCCCATATGAGTTGACTGTATATTCTACCTTGTATTTATCTGTGGCATTTCCTGAAATAAATGAAACCATGAAAAATAATGATAATAATTAAAGTGATAAAATAATAAAACAAAATGATAAACACAAAATAATAAAATGCAATTTTGGTGACGCTTAAAGCATCTGAACAGGATTGAGCTTTTCCAACTTTCTCTTAATTCAGATCAGATTCAATTTAGTTAAAGGTGCACAACTCAAACTCATGCCTGAATCTGCAAAAACTTCTGCTTACCCTTGTCCTGATGTGTTGTTGATATATTGTCATGGAAACACGTGCTGCTAAAATAACATGCAGGTGTGTTATTGTTTTGAAATGTGAACTAATCCAAAATTACATAATGTCCCTTAAATAAACACATTAGAATATTACCAGTGTGCACCAGAGGCATGCAGCATTTAAGTCATGCAGAAATTAAAGAATTATTCACATTTGAGTAAAATGAGAGCGACATAAACCCAGTGATTCACGGCCCCCGCAGCTCACAGAGACGACCCTGTTTTGACACTGGACTCAGATCATAGTTTGGGATCACTCCTGATTCTCCACCCTCTGTATCACAGCAGCCTTCATCTTCCTTATATGCAGTAAATATATTGTGCACATAATATTGTAATATGCACAACACTGAAACATACTTATTGAATGTTTGTGTCAACCGGCCCTGGCAGCTGTTGTTTAGCACCAGCAGAAAAGTATGTGTTTTTACAGCTGTCTTTCTCTTTTCAGCGTTGATTTACTCCCAAAGCCACGTCAACCGGAGACCTGACACTAAATCACAGTGTGGCACCCATCGCAGTTGTCTTGACTTCTGACCCAGGAAGTCTTTGAATGCTGGACCCCCTGTCTCAGCAGCTCCTGAGGACCCCTGGTCGAATGGCATTTGAGGAAACCCACACCCCTGGTTCTGTAGAAAGTACAGAACCAGGCCAACCACCACAAGGGGAATATATAGAACCGAAAAGTACCAAATGAACCCACACTCAGCTTTGGTATAAACATTACAGCTTATGAATTTTTTGTATCTATTTGATTGAGAATTATGCCAGATTATAGCAGAAAAGTATTTCACAAACATCACATATACAACTAACAGAGAGCAAAAAAGTACGTTAGAGCCTTTTTCCGTCCTCAAAAACAGAGTTTTTAGATCAATCCACTCAGGAACTTCTGGCACAAACTTGTAACTACACCCCTTTCGTCTCATTCCTGTAACAGTATGACGTCATTGTGCCACTATGACATCACGTTGTTTTAAAACAAAAGAAATAACCATAAATTCATTTTTCTCAGGTGAGAGGTCGTTCTTTACAATCAAATGGTGTAAAAGCAGGAAAAAAACCCAAAAACAAATATGAAACCCCTCCCTCTAGTGTTAGGATAGGGAGCTACAGGCAGAGGGCATTTTCTATCCTTCATACTTGTTTCACCATATCTTTTCTCTACTGAAGATGCTATTTCACTTTCTAAAAGATGAAATGAGAAAGTAAATTGTCTCAATTTAAATTTAATGGCCAAATGTAAAGTATAATATTTCTTCTTTAAATGGGACAATGAAAACCAATTTTGACAGATCCCAATTAGGATCTCACAAGCTGCAGAAATGATAGTGTGCACCGTTTCCATTCAAAACAGCCCTGGGCACTCTCACTCCTCTGATAACCTGAGAGCTCATTAGTGCGTACATTAGAACATCACAAACAATAAAAAGTGCCAGCTCTGTTCAGTTTGAAAGTGTGACAGTGGGAGAGCACTTACCGCCGCCTGTGTGCTCAACATAATGATGTTTGTCTAAAAACAGATAAGGAGCTCTTCACAGAACCAACGGGAATTAATTAAGGGTGAGTGACGGCGACCGCAAGAGCCTTTTATCATCTGTGGAAAATAGTTTGTCAAAAGAGGCGACTTTTCATGCAGATTATTACCGAGGTGTTTTAACCATGCTGCATGTATTTCAATGTATTCTGTGTTGTCCTAAATCATAACAGTCGTCTCATTGGATTTTACAAAGTTCTCAATTCACAAACAACAGATCAGAAAATCAAACAATAGTAAAAAAGACATAGAGCAGGATGAAAACTGTTCAAAAATGTGATCAATATCTTCTTGTTTTTTAGTTTACAGGTTGTAGCTAATATCAAGCTGCTGTTTTGATTGCATTTGTTAAAGAGTCATGAGTTTGGCTCTTTTTGGCTTCTGTAGGTCAGATTTTTCTGTCTGAAATATCTGAATAAGAGAGGACGACCATGCCTCACCTAATCAGCTCTCAGTAATATTGACTCACAAGGCTATTTCTAACAAGTATGCAAAAGATTACGGAAAATTGTTTGTTGCCTTGTTTGGTCACAATATTAGTATTTTTGTTGGGACAAACAACACTTGCAATTTCCGTGAAAAAAAGTGAGTTAGCCCAACTTTGAATCCATTTAAGGTTCAGGTTTATTTGTCTTCAATAAACATTATTTTCATCTGCATTGTTCGACATGTTTTTTGTTTCTAAATGTAGACACCATTGACACGTCCTCTCGCCTGGACTCTGTGTGAGGCCACAGCTACATTTAGAACTGCTTTCACTATTGTCGGATCGGCCCATTTTCCCATCATGTCCCTCAGCGCTCACTGACATAACGTTGTAAATAAACACATCCATTGTTCCGATGCTTTGTGGAGAGAGAGCTCTGAATAGTGCAGAGGATGTGGCCATTTAAAGGCAGAGAAGGCTAATCAATACTGATCTGGGCGATAGTGAGTGGTTAAAATAGAGCTAGTCTAAAGGGAGAGTGCTGCTGTTGTTTATTTTTTCAACCTGAAATGATTGGGCTTCAAGAGCATTCGACATATTAGACCACATTTTACTGTTTTCTCATGCGTGGCGTGATGAGCGTCCTATTTTCTTGTTACAGTTTTACAAAAACCCAAAGTGCATATGTGTCCATAGCCACATTCATTTGAATAATTGTCATAAGTTTGTTTAATGGACACATTTTAAGACAACATTTTTTTCTTGTTCAGTGCATGTTATACTCACAAATGAATGTCTATTCAATAAAAGGATTAGTTAAAACAACCAGAAAATGGGTTTAGCAAATCTGATAGGGAGTTGACAAATACTTTGGTAAAAATATCCAATCCAAAAAAGGGTTGTGTTTTTAACCAATCTACAATGGTCATAGAGCCAACTGAAGCTAATGAGCCAGAAACTCCAGGCAAGGTGTCTTGCCTAAGGACAAAGTGGCACCTGGTGTTCCCAGAGGTCTCCCATCCCAGTATTAAAAATGCCCTGCTTGGTGAGACAGGAGGCTTTCACATTTAAAATACAAAATTGTCCATTCTCAACAAAGAGCCAGCCACTTACCTGAAACCAGATCACAAGCGAATCATCAACATTGAATTTCTAACCAAAAGATTCAGATTTAGATGCCAATTTATTTGCCATTTCCAGCAAAACCCCATTGGAATAATTGTACAAGACTACCCCAGTTTGCACCAGAGCACACACCAGAGCTTCTGCCACGGTGTCTTGATGCAATGTGTATTTATGGTGCATTTAGAACTTCAACAAACGACTTATTCTTACAAATCAATCAAAGTCATTTGTCTCTGTTGTCCAAAACATGCACTAATTGTTTTGAGTTGACTTAAAGAACTGCTTACATCTCGTCCTCTGAGTTTAGTTCAATGAATGCTCAGGGCCATGTTGTTTTCCCACTGTTTCATGTAATCAATGCTGTATAGATTCCTGATAGCTTTTTCCTCCAGTCGATCACATGCACCATCACAGCCGGATAATCACGTGCAGAAGAGAATAAGAGCTCGGCAACAATCGTTAACACTATAGGAGCAAAAGCATGCGACAAAGTGAAACCTCCACATGTTTGCTCAACGTCAAAGCCATCAAACCAGATTCTTGCTCATATAAATATTTCTCACAAGAAATGACAGATATGCTGGAAAAGATTGAACATATTTTTTTCAAATGCTGCAGATGAAAGACTGTCAGCTGCTCACAAATCTGTTTGAACCTCACTGGAGCAGAGGAAGGCATTCCAAATGTGTGAATGAAGCATCGTAGTAGTACACACACTACTGAAAAGGGATTTTAGCAGAACGTGAATTAAAGAAGAGCGTTTCTCACCAAAACTGTATCCAAATCTGTGAATCAAAACTATATTAGATACTCAGACCACAGAGAGTAAGGGAGTAAGGTTGCTGGCATGTTAAAGTATCAGGCCTATCATTTCCCATGAACAATTAAAGCTGGGGTATAATTTTTTCATTCAGAAATAATACCTGTTGTTTGTCCCAGTCTTGCATACGTGATTTGTTGTGAATAAATCAAACTACAATTTTCTGATTTGATCTTATCTTTCTTTATCTTTCACATAAGTGTCGGAAAGAGCCTTACTATTTGACGCTTTGGGCTTAGAGCTGATTGGCTAAAGGGAGGAAGGTCCTTTATTTGACACTTTTCTGTCTGTAAAAGCTCATCTAAAGGCAAGGCAAGGCAAGTTTATTTGTATAGCACAATTCATACACAAGGCAATTCAAAGTGCTGAACAAAACAAGACAGCATAATCATAAATAATCACAGAGCATTAAAAAGAAAGATAAAAATATAAAATCCCAGTTGTATGCACAGTT